CCTACCATTACTATATGGAGGTTCTCCTCCATAACCAATTCAATCTTATTTTTCCTGGCTTGTGCGCATCTCACGAGAGGACTCATTAGTCTTTCCCTCTAATTCAGTCCAAGTCTCTAAGATGGGCTTTTAAGCCCTTGGCAAACATCACTGCAAGTACACGCGAACCAATAATTGGTTTTGCTTTTCACCTTTTTTTTATTATTTGTCCTGATTTTTATTATCTTGGAGATTTTATAGTTTTCTACTATCCCAATTCTTTTAATTTTGATTGGTGTGCGGAGGTAATGAAGCTATAATTATTTCGACTTTAACTGTTAGATGATTTACCATAATATATACCCAATTTATGCATATTGATTGTTGATCGATGACAATTTTTCCGTTTTTTGCCTTATATACACATATATGATTGATTGCTTCCTCCTGCAATTGCCTCGATACCATAGAAGGTAGCGCCCATTGTTAAAATTTTGATTTATAGTTTATTCTTTAAATTGGTATGAGAATTTGAATACAGTATATACCTTTTTGTATGGAACAAATAGGGTAGATAGTTAATTAAGTTTCAAGGTTAAGGATGGTTGGTTAATCAAATGTGCATATTATTTTTATATTATAATATCGTAATGAGAATGTCGACAGAGAATATGAATAGAATGGGTAGTCAATTAAATTTTTAAGATTAAGGGTGGTTTGTTAATTAAAGGTGCATATTTTATATTTTTATTAGTATTTAAAATTTGCAGTTCGATGCCTCGAAGACCACGTGAAGAGTTATCCAAACAACCAAATAGTATTTCAATTCAATCATAAAAAATTGAATGTAAGTACATATGTTTTATTTCCATAATTCTAGACATCTTCCAATTATATATGTGACCATTTGTATACCCGTAGAAGGTCTAATTGATTCTTATTGGTCTCTATCCAAAGCACAAAATAAATTTTCTAATAGTATGAAAATCAATGAACTGTCATTCGTTTAAAATCCTCAAACTATTTTACACTGCTTGATCTTACAAAACTATTACTGTCCATTTTAAATTTTCAGAAATTAATGCACATAAGTCAGAGTTGACGAGAATTAATCATTGACAAAATTGGCAAGGAAAAACATGCTCTTCAAATGTTATCCATTGATTTCATTTCATGTTCGTTATCGATTTATATGTTATCACATTCTGGGTTGGATGTAAAGATTGTATATTATACGGATTCCTATACAAAACTTCAAATTGAGATGGATAACTTTCAAATTAGGAGAAATAAATTGTTAAGGTCCATCAAACTAGCTAAAAATTGTTATAATCGTCTTCGGGTTATGTTTTCCAAAGATTTTTCAGGTTTATTGAAGAAGGGGGTTAAAATTTTTCAATTTGCAGCTTTCTACTGATGAGATCAAAAATATATGTTCGAATGGGGATATATAAATTATTGCAGAAATATAGGAATTCTCTCGATGATTTATCAGGTCTTTCATTTCCATATGAAACTATGAGATTAAATTCTCAAAATTGAATGACTGTTGAGGGATTGAATTACAATCTAGAAGATTAATGAAGGGATTCTATAAATTTTCATCGCAATGGAAGAATGTAATCAATGAAATTGTTCAAGCTATGGAGGAAGAAAATTGAAACTACTTCTTTGTTAATGGATTTGGAGGTACAAGGAAAACATTTCTTTGCAAGGTTATTTGTTTGAAGCTACTAGCAGAAATGAAAATACGGTTGTGTATTGCTTCTTTTGGTATTGCAGCTTTGCTAATAGTTGGAGGTATAATTTCTCATTCTTGATTCCACATTCCAATTGATAATGCCTCTAACAACAACAAAAAATGAAGTATTTAAAAAAAAGAGAGAAGAAGGAAGTGATGATTGGCAATGAAGATGAATGTGTCACTAATTGAGATGAACCCATGATTGGTGGAGATGGCGGAGAAAATGCAAACAAGTCGAAAAGTAATGTGCAGTAATCTTTGATGATTAGAAGTAAATAGAAAAGTTATTCAAAATTATTTAGGAGTTGGTTCCCTTGCATTAGGTTTGTTTTTAATTTTTCGTACAAGGATTTTAGTCGATGAATAAGTTAGAATGTCCGAACAGACTATGATGTTATCATTTTGAATGAGTGAAGTATTGTAATAATTTGAATTCTCATATGCTACCAATCAATTTGATGTTTAGAGTGTTTGAATAACTTAAATGTTCTTATACATACTATAAAAAATGAGTATTTTCGGCCAATTGGTCGGGCCTGCGACTAGTTTTCCTAAAACACTTGCCACTAAGAAAAAGAGCGGAAACAAAAAGAGTTAATAATATCAATTACTCTCTCCCCAATTAATTAGTTTACATTATATTTAATTTTGAATATTAATATTTATTAAATAATTTTCGATTATCCTTCACCGTCCGATCGTCGGCGTCGGACCGAGCCTCAACTTTCAAACGTCGGTGTCGGACCGAGCCTCAATTTCCGAACTCCGGCCTCAGTCCGCTCATCACCATCCAAGCTAAGCCAGACTCGTGGAAGAAGCGATGGCGGTAGTTATCGTTGCGTAGTGGCTGGTGGGTTCAGGCCCCCATTGTCGCCCCGAAATTCGGCGGGGGATCAGATCCTGCTGGCGTCTGTGTTGGGCCTGAGTTCAACGAACAAGACGAGGACTATGATGTACAATTCCTGCCATCCTCCCCAACTCCGGCACAAACCTACCCTTCAGTCAGAGCCTTTCCTCAAGTTTCTTGCTATCTTTTTTGTTCCTGTTCCGGACGAAAATGTGTGGAGAGGCTGTTTGTGGAGAGGGGCAAATTTGGAAATTGATTTGTAATTGTGGAGGGCAAATAGTAATTAAATGGGCGAAAAATAACAACCCTCTTGATTAATGACATGATATCGTAATTTAGTTTCACTACGAAATCTCGTGAGATTGACTATTAATTTAAAGGGGTAAATTGCAAGTTTCGTCACTGAAATTGCTAAAAAGTATCACGTTTGCCATTAAGATTAATTTATTCCATTCACGGTCACTTAAATTAGTTTTGTAGTTCAAGTTTAGTCACTGACCGTTAGTCTCCGTTAACACCATCAGTTAAATGCTGACATGGTTGACGAAAATGTCTAGTCACCCACTTTTAACCCAAAATAATTAAAAAGTCGACCTTCCACATCATAAAAAACTACCACGTCACAAAAACCAACTTGTAACCAAACCCAAAACTGACCCGACCCAAATCCCTTCTCTTCTTTGATCCTTCATCACCGCCTCCTATTCTCCGATCCTCCGCCGATCCTCCCCACTCCTATCTTCTTGTTCCTCATCCTCCTCCCTGCAAAAATCCACAGCCCAAAACATCACCGAGATCCCCTGTCACGCTGGCTCCATCCAGTTTCGGCAATGGCGACTCCCCTGCCTCCGCCGGCTCCACTAGATTTCGGCCTCTCCTCCATGTCCCAATCCTAATGTTCTCCATCTCCACCACCACCTATCTTCTAAATTTGTGAAACCGCCGCCGCTGCAGCAACCATGGAGAAGAAGAATTCTGCTGCTTCTTAGCGATTCCTCCTCCCTTCCCTTCTCCCTTCCCCTCTTCCTCTAGACAAAGGCGAGAAAGGAGGCAAAACGTACCTATCGAACCAGAAGAAGAGGGGAGTTGGGAGAAATCTCTCACCCCCGCCAATCATACGAGCTATGGATGCTACCTCTACCTCCGTCACTGTCGCAGTCACCGTCCAGGCTTAGGCTCGACTGGATGCGTTCAAATCGGCGACAACAAGGAGTCCCCCGTAGATTCCTTCCTCGTCGAGGCTTTTCAGAGTCCACGCCACCATCTCACCAGTCAGTTTCTGGTTTCCTTCTTGTTCTTTGTCAATTCGCAAATTTCTTACTCGCTCGTTTGTTCGATCTAGTATATGTTGTGTGGTTGAATTGATTCCTGGCCATGTGGATGTAGGGTTTAATTTTGGTTCTCTGATGTTTTTGTTGGTAGATTGGTTGAGGATTAGGCTTTTGAGTCGCAGAGATTGACTATTGGATTCTGGTGTAGATAGTTAGATCTGGTTATTGTGACGTTATTGAAGTTTGGGGGATTTGTGGTAAACTGCAATGCTTAATGAGGGAGGGAAGGTTCTTGCGTGGGCGAGCTCGGGATGAAATTTCTGGGTTGTCCCTTTGCAAACCCAGATTTTTCAACTCTGCTGGAAACTCCGGTTTCTCGTCGGAAGAAATGAAGAACATGTTGCTGAGGAAGTGTCTCGAAGTTCAGATGCTTCACGCGAACCCTGAACTCAAACCAGACATTGGCGATTGGGATCTTCAGAGGTTGTTGGAGATTGGGGGTAGTTCGATCTCAGAGAAGCGGCGCCGATGACGAGGAGGGTTTGGGGCGGGGAGCCGAGTCTCGACGAGATGAAGATGTCAAGAACATGGGTCGAGTCGGGGGTTGAGTGTGGGTTGAGTTGGTTTTATGATATGGTGGGTTTGCTGAGGTGGCGGGTCAGTTTGAATATTTTTGGGTTAAAAATGGATGATTAGATATTTTCATTAGTCACGTTAGCATTTAACTGACGGTGTTAACAGGGACTAACGGTCAGTGACCAAACTTGGATTACGAAACTAATTTAAGTGATCATGAATGGAATACATTGATTTTAGTGGCAAACGTGACATTTTTTAACAATTCTAGTGACCAAACTTGCAATTTATTTGCAATTTATTTGCAATTTAGATGGTAAATCAAATGGTTTTACATCTATAATCTATCTAGAAACACACCGCCAGATCCCCTCTCATGATGGCAGGAAGTACGGTACAACATATCTTGTTCCAGTTCGTCAAGGAATCTTTGTGAGATTGAAAAAAGAGGCTATCCGAAATCTCCAGCTCATTAATGCTTAGATCAGATGCCATCATAATTCATAAGGTTCTAGTTTTGACAGATCGTTCCATTGACGAGTGACGTGAACATTACTCAATTAGTTAGCTTAAGCCACTCAAGAGCAAAGCAACCAAAGATACGCAGGACAAGCTCATCCTACCTTCCTGAAATTGATTTCCTTGAAGGTCAGAAAAACAAAACTAAAACATTTACAAGGGTCTCGATGAACAAAAAGTTCACTCCTTTAAGAGCTAAAATTTTAAAATTGGGGGCAAAAAGGAAAGAAAATAATAAAAGTTAACCCCTCTAATCCTCTAAAAATTGTTAGTGTTTCTTACTTCAAAAGACACAACCCCCTCGCCATCTTCTTTGTTTATAAGATTAAAGGGGGGCTCTTTCATTTCATGGTGGAAACAAAAACAAGAGAGAACTAATTTTAACAAAAGGACGGACCTGCAGGGTTAACCACTATATGCCTAAGAGGGTGGTCGACATTGATGCCCCCGGCATGCTTCACGAACTCTGCAGGTGACAAGAAGCTGCCATGGCAAACACACATTATCCTCACCTCCTCTCCTCTACCGTACTTGTACAGGATGCCTTCTACTCGTCTCCCGTTAGGTCCATCCCCTATCGTGAATACACAAGGCATATCTTCCATGGCGCTCGTCGTCCCAGCTTCCCTCCCCCTCTTGTCTCCTGCAGAAGAGGCAGTGAGGCTCATTTGATTGTTCTCGGTGTGATCTGCGACAGCGGCTCTGGACGACATTTGGGTGGTCAGCTTTGGGGCTGAAGAGCACCCCGCCTGGTTTCGTTGGTCTTGCAAGGATTGGTTGCTCATTGGGCTTCTTGATTCGCTGCCCGCGCTGCCTGATCCTGCAATGCCACAGAGAAGAAGCATGAGAAACAGAAAAATATCAGACCAGAAAAGGTTTTGTTTTCAGCATATAATTCATATCGAATCATAGATCCGGTAAAGCACAGAGAGAACTGGGTCATCCAAGCCAAAGAGCACCTTAAGAGAAGAATAATCAGGTTGATCTAGTAGATCATCAAAGTTGCACCAGCATCTTTCCCACTTCAACTCAAAGTAGAAATGTAGTTGTTTTGCTAAAGCAAGTTCTAGATTCACTTACCAAACGCACCGGGATCATGTATCATCTCATATTCCTAATTAGACGTGCTGCAACCCAAGCATTCAGTAACACCTCAGCCATCTTTTCAGATGCTAGGCAGCCCTCGTGTATTTTCCATAGGTGTAAAAAAGTTGAGCATGAGAAACAGAATACACCAAGCAATACCGATTACCTAGCTATAATCCGCAAACTGACAACAAACACGATAAATGAGTTCTATTCAAGTGGAGCAGATGCCTCTTCATCAATGAACTATGGTTGATTCATTCATGGTGTCTGAGTTCCATAAAATCAACCAGCCACAATATCAAGTTAGTTGGGAATGATTACACTCTTCTAAGACTCAACTAGCAGGCAGCATTTTTGTACCTTGGCACCTCTGGTCTCGAGTGTATTCTGACAGGTTGTCCATAAAAGCACCATGGTTGAAGTAACAATACCAGCGTACATTCATAGCAAACGTAAGATGAAGAGAAGAAGCAATGAAAAGTCTAGATGGAACAATCAGAAATCACAGATACTAACGTAAAGCACATGTGACAGCATGCAGTACCTATATAATACTAACTAACTAACAGTAGCAAGCTTTGAGCCACCAAAATTGTGGCTTCTTCACCTCCAGTTGATTTGAAAGCTGTGTCATGTCCTCTCTAACCCAATTTGAACCAATTCAGTTGAGGAAGCTTAGCATATCGAAAACAAATACACTGCTCTAGCAGAAATAGATTAAAGACCTAATAGAGACCACTACTAAGAACCCTACAAATCAATTTATTCCATTTGATCCTTCACATCACAACTCCTACTATCATTCCACGGCACCACACCAGACGCAACTGGTGTTTCCTCTCATCAGTGAAAACTTCCACTGTTATCCATCCATCTCTTGGATGAAAAAGCTTGTTGCTTCAAGTACACACAAGCACTCATCAATTCCCCACACGAAGTTTGCAACAAAACCAGAAGCTAGCAAATCCTGTCTTTTCAACGGCATCGGTTAAGTGTACCAAATCATGTCCCTTCTCCAGAATTCTAAGTACAACCACCAATCTAACAAACTTCCAATTTCCAACCCACCTACCGGCCTAACTTCTCAACAGCAACAGATTCGAACCCTAAGCCAAAATAATGCAGGCAATGGCAACCCAAAATAGAAAGCTCAGAGGATCCAAAGCCCCACCATAGTAACTGGAAATTATAAGAAACCCAAAAATAGGAAAAGAAACACACCTTGAAGATTAGGCTTACTCTCCATTTCTGACATCCCAGAGGTAGAGCTATTCCCACCCTGAGATTCCACTGAAACTTGTGACCCAACTTGCAAATGATTGCTGCTGCTGCTTCCATTCAAATTCACTCCCCCTTGCCTACAACTCCCCCAATTCGCCATCCAATTCCCCCTACTATTGCCATTACTACTAACATTCACCAACAATTCCTTCTTCTGTTCCTCCAAAAAACTCAATTCCCCTCCACTTCCTCCTCCTACTAATCCTCTTAGACTAGGATTCGAATTCAAATTTGTAGTCAAGTTCCTCTGCTTTTCGCTCCGCCGTCTCTTGGCTTCCATCCTTCTCAGGCTCTGCATTTCCTTCCTCTTCCTCCACTCCTCCTCCGTCTCTGTTGGGAGAGACGACGCCCTCATCAGCAAGGGGTACGACGTCGCCGCAGGGGGCGAGCTGAATGCGTCCGGCTCCTGAAGGAACGGTATGGAACCCGCTATAGACGACGATCGTGTGATCTTCTTTGAAGTCTTATCGACCCCAAATCTGCCGCCGAGTGACAGGCCCAAATTCAGCTCGATTTCCTCTGCTTCCCTCTCTGCTTCATCTTCTTCTTCCTCTTCCCTGGTTAAAGCTCTGCGCTTCCGCCCGCCGTGACCCTCGCTGGACATGAATCTCGTCAGTAGATCCCTCGGGTACCTGTTTATCTCCAAGGAAAGACTCTCCATTGCTCTGCTGCTGCTGCTGCTTCCAACGCTGGTTCTGTTCACGGCTCCTTCTGCTTCCCCCATGGGAAGTAAAGCTATCTAATGGTTTCAATTGAAAGGGAAAGGGGGACGGAGAGTGGAGAAACAGGGGAAACAGAGAAACGGGATTATAAGATGTCGATTGGGCTAAGAAACAGAGCATGAAGCAGCAGCAGTAGTACTATTTGATCCGATTCACAAAAACCCATCTCTCCCCCAGCTCAAAGCTCTCGCCTATATTGGTCTGCTGGAAAGAAATCTAACGAACTACCCATCAACCTAATTGGAGAAAACGAAAGAGCGTTAGCGATTGGAAGCAAGAACCCTAACGGAGGAGTGAAACATAGAAAACAGATGAAAGGGAGAGGGAAGAAACGCTTTCTGGGTTTATATCTATACAGTTCAATTTTTGTCAAGAGAATTGGTGGCTTAACGGACGGAAAAGAACAATAGGGGAGAAGGAAGGAACGAAGAACCCAAAAGAAAAACTGGAAACGGAGAGAGACAGAGCGCAAACCGGAGAGAGGAATCGGCAGTGACGGAAGAAGGGAAAAGGAAAAAAGAAGCAGAAAGGGCAGAGACATAGAAAGTGAGAAACAGAGAGGGTGAAAGGGAAAGTTTTTTCTTCTTCTTCCCCCTTTCCTTTTTTTTAATGGATTTAATTTATTTTTTGTGAAAAAGTATAAAAACATAAGATAAGGGCAATAAAATAATTAATAATTGCTCCAAAGACTTTCTTTACCTTGTAATCAATCTCAAATTTAATCCAATGGAATTAAAGATAGCCTAATAGTATAGTTGTCGCAATAATGAAGGTTTGAGAGTTGTATATTTCATGTTTGATTCAAGAGAGGTTCATTGGTGTTTCTCGACATTGATTAGAAGAACCCAGGTTTAGTAGGCTCCACTGTCAAAAGTGGCACGTGTGGCTGAGGATTCCTGAGTAAACTAATAAAAAAAATTCAATGGAAAATTGTAAGTTAACAATACTACTAATACGTATTTATTTCCTTATATTCTGTTGGGCATAGGACTCGGGCCTAACCACGCCAAGGAGCCGGGCGCAACTGGATGAGACCCCAACACGGCAGCGCGAGGACCCCGAGTGTGCCGCCTCATCGTGGCTAACCACGTCCAGGCGCGAAGAGATGACAGGCGCTAGGGGAGGACTAGCGTAGGCTGAACCAGAAGATGAGGGAAGCGCACCTCTTCCAAGCGGGTAGTCACATCAGGGCCATGAGTGGATCTCTGACTCATCCTAGGTAGAGGGATGGCCTAAAAGCCTTAGTATGCTAGTGGTCACATCATTGTATCCCAGTAGTCACATCACTGTATCTCTCCCTATGTCAACCACTCACCCACCACCATGAAGCCTATAAATATGGCATTTACTACGGTGGGTGAGGGGATCGCATTTTTCACCATTCTCTCTCTACAAGAACTACTTCTCTTTCTAATCTCTCTCTTACTCACTCTCTCTGATTCTGATTCCTCCGATCAAACCCGGCTCTCACGTTTCTTCTCGACCCAAACTCTCATTCGAATCTCACTCCTACACTCAGTTAGGTTCAAACAATTGGCGCCCACCGTGGGGCTGGGAGGAAACGCTGAAAAAGACCCACCAATGGCAGAGCGCAATCTCGAACAACCTGACCAAGCAACGCCGATCAAGGCGATGACTGACCCAAGGGCGTTCGCAGAAGCCAGCAACCTCAACGCGGTACTCATCGAGGAAGAAGAACCGGAGCTGACGCCCAAAGAAATGAGGGAGCTGTTGACGAAACAAAACAACGTCATAGCCGACGTGCAGAGACAAATGAGCCAGGTAATCGCGCTCATGATGAGCAAGGAAGGCGCGCCAACGACGGACGCGACAACGAGCGCGCCTCAACAAGCCTTGGGAGAAACTTCAGGGACAATCCTGTCGTCGCAACTCGCGCCAGCGGAACTTCCCGCACGCGGGACACAGGAAGTCGAACCACCGGGGCGGGCAGACCTCAGCTTCTTGGAGCAACACCTGACTCCGCAATACCGGCCCAACCCGCCCAAAAGGACCCTACACCAGCCATTGAGCGCGCAAATAATGGCAGAGAACCTAACCGGAGCGCCACCAACCCTCCCGACATACAACGGCACTACCGACCCGGAGGACCACGTGAGCACCTTCTGCCTGCGCATGCAACTCCAAACCAACTCCAACGCCGCGCTATGCAGAACCTTCCCCTCGACATTCACCGGGATATGCCTCGATTGGTACAACCGCCTCCCCAATGGAATCATCAACTCGTTTGAGGAGTTCATACTTCTGTTCACCACAAAATTCGCGTCCCAGAAGCGACGCCCCCTCCACCTCAAGGCCCTGATAGATATCAGGCAAAAAGACGGAGAAAGCCTGAGGGCTTTCTACGCCAGATGGTCCCGGGTAGCAATGTCCGTTCGCGACCTTACTCCCGAAACAGCCGCCCATCACCTCATGGAGGCAACCAACAACATGGAGCTCAAACGGGCCTTAGCAAAAAGGCCCGTCACGCTGTCGACGGAGTTGGAGATGAAGATCGAGAAGGCAATCACGTTGGAAGAAACCTTGGGGGCGGGATCCGTCAGGCGCTTCGAACCGGCGAGAATGTCGCGAGAGGAACAGACGCGTCGACAACCTCCGACCCCAATCCCACGGGACCAACTACTACAGATGCACAGTGGTCCGAAGCGCAACCCCCCTCCCCCACCAGAGCAGGGACAGCGCGGGCGATCGCCAGACAGGCGCGTATCCAATGCCTACACGCCCCTCAATGACTCCGTGAGAAACGTGTTCCACGTCCTCCGCGAGAAAGGATACAAGCTTAACTGGCCTGCCCCGCTGAAGTCTCAACCCTACATGCGCGACCCGAGCAGGCATTGTGAATTCCACAGAGCAACGGGGCATAAGACAGAAGAATGCCGAGAGTTACGGTACGAAATAGAGGGCCTCGTACGACGAGGGTTGCTAACTGAGTTCACCCACGTGAAAAAGGAGCAAGTCGAAGCGCCGCAACAACCACCCCCACCCCCACAAGCCGATTACGACGATGACACTGGCGCGTACGTAGTGCGCAAAGAAATCGGGGTGGTAACGGTCGAAGGAGATCGTCCCAAGAAGAAAACCAAGCGTGAGCGCGCAACGGAATGCGCGGCTGTCGACGCACCGCCAAAGTTCAATCTGAGCTTCGGCGACGCGGAGTTCCCACAAGGAATCCCGTCGGAGGAGCCACTCATCGTCACCGCGCTGATTGCCGCCTGCAAGACCCACCGTCTCCTGATAGACGGGGGTAGTGCGGCCGACATCCTCTTCCAGAGTACCATCAACAAAATGGATATCGATCCGCGCCTAATCAGGCGCGCACACGGCAACTTAGTTGGTTTCTCCGGAACCAGAGTCCCGGTAATTGGAGTGGTCACCCTCCCAGTGGTTATTGGGGACCAGGAGCCCCGCGTCTCCAAGCAGATAGAGTTCACAATCGTCGATTGCGAATCGGCGCACAATGGCATCTTGGGCCGACCTTTCCTCGCGAAGTTCATGGCCCTCCCATCGACGTGTCACCAGAAGCTCAAGTTTCCAACACAGGGAGGAGTCGGGGAGGCGCGAGGAACGACTTGGGAAGACCGCGTTGTGGCACGCCAAACCAACATCGTCGACACAAGAGCAGAAGAGCCCCGCCCGGAATCCATGGATTCCGATTTCGAGGTCGCGCTAGACCCTGCCGAGCCGACCAGGAAGATACGCATCTCCACTCACGTCAGCAGCGACGCAATCGAACCACTCATAGCGCTGCTGAAGGAGTACAAGGAGCTCTTCGCGTGGTGCACAGAGGACATGCCAGGAGTGCCCAGGGAGGTAGCGCAGCATAGCCTCGCGGTCCCAGCCGACGCCGAACCAAGGCAACAAGGGCGGAGAACGTTCACCGGGGACAAGCTGAAGGCGATAGAAGAGGAGGTTGCGCGCCTGCTAGCAGCCGGATTGATCCGCCCCGTGAAGTACCCGAAGTGGCTGGCGAACGTGGTCCTGGTCAAAAAATCGTCAGGAGCCTGGCGGATGTGCGTTGACTACACCACAATCAACAAAGTATGCCCGGGAGACCCTTACCCCCTGCCGCGCATCGACCAGCTGATCGACGCGACCGCCGACCACGAGACGTTGTCCTTCCTCGACATGTTCTCAGGATATCACCAAATCCAAATGTCCAAGGAAGATGAAGAAAAAACGGCTTTCATGACACCTTTCGGGAACTTCTGCTTCGTAGGTATGCCGTTCGGGTTGAAAAACGCGGGCGCGACATACCAACGAATGATCGACGCAGTTTTCTCGCAGCAAATCGGGCGGAACATCGAGGCGTATGTGGACGACCTCATCGTCAAAACCAAGGCGGGTAAGTCACACCTGGAGGACCTGCGCGAGACCTTCGAAGCCCTCCGCAAGCACAGCCTTCGCCTCAATCCACTCAAGTGCGTCTTTGGAGCAGAGGCGGGGAAATTTCTGGGGTTCATGATAACCAAGCGCGGCATAGAGGTCGATCCGAAGCAAATCACCGCGGTCCAACAACTACGAGCGCCGCGGAACGCATTGGAAATCCAATCTCTGAACGGCAAGATAGCGGCACTGGGGAGGTTCATACCAAGGTCCGCTGACAAATGCGCGCCCTTCTTCCAGACACTCAAGAACGGGACGCGCTTCGCATGGTCCACGGAATGCGAAGCGGCCTTCCAGGAATTAAAGGCGTATCTTGTATCCCCCCCTGTACTGACCGCTCCCAAGCTTAATGAAAAACTTTTCTTGTATCTCGCCGTGTCAACAAGAGCCGTGAGCGCGGTTCTGATATCTAGGAGGGATGGCAGGACTGAGCAACCAGTGTATTACACCTCGCGCACTCTCGTTAGCGCGGAAACAAGATATTCCTCGATCGAGAAAGCTGCCCTGGCGTTAGTGAGCGCTTCGCAGAAACTGCGCCCGTACTTTCAAGCGCACCAGGTCACCGTCCTGACCAACCTGCCACTAAAAAAGATTCTGACTTCAATGGAAGTGTCGGGGCGCATGGTCAAATGGGCGGTGGAGCTCTCGGAGTACGATATTCAATACGCGCCGAGGCCAGCAATCAAGGCCCAAATCTTAGCGGACTTCATCGCGGAAGGGGTGACCCTCGAAACAACGCCGGAGGGCGTTTGGGAAGTCTATGTCGATGGAGCGGCAAGTAAGCATGGCGCCGGAGCAGGGGTTGTGGTGCGCACACCTGCCGGCGTAATGCACGAAATCGCAATCAGGTTCAGGGCGTTGAAGACAAACAACGCCGCGGAATACGAGGCCATCTTGGCAGGAATGACGGCCGCTCACGACCTCGGGGCAAGAACGGTGCGTATACTTTCCGACTCCTCCCTGGCGGTCAACCAACTGAATGGTGCGTTCGACGCAAAGGAAGACACACTGGCGCATTACATGGAGCGCGTTAAGCAGAGGGCCACAACATTCGAATCAGTAACGTATGCACAGATACCAAGGGAGGAAAATGCGCATGCCGACGCGCTATCCAAGCTAGCAACGGCTACAGACTTCGAATCGACGCGCCTCGTGTCCGTC